ATCTATTATTTCCCACTTGTGTATGGTCCAAGTATCAACCCACCGACGCATATTTTTTCGTGATAAATTCCTCATAAGAATTGAACTTACTTTTTGATGTGGCAGACCGTATTTGTACAAAGGACTACGGTTCAAACTCCAATCTGGTCGTGTATTTTTTCATCTCCTCATTCAATATTTTTATTTATTGCATTTCCCCACCTCGTTACAGTAAGTGGCCAGTGCTTTATTAAAATGTATGCAGCTCATAGTATCCATGCTACCATAATACCCCCTCACCTCGCCCCCTGCCGAAAAATAAATCAATAAAAAATAAAACTTGAAGGTTTGTCCATGTATTTTTTCAGAAGAATTGCCTTCCTAATGAACTAGTCATCACAACTGTGTTGTATAACCAATCAACAATGAATCCTCACTCATTTCGGTTGATAATCGTTAATGTTACACTGGTGATGTCACAATCACGGGAAGCAGTAAATCACGTGGATTGATTTGACCCTCAAAATAATAAAAAGCTGTGTACCAGCGAGAGACTTTGACAATCAGGCCTTGTTCTGATTTCAAAATATTCATGTAAGTAAAGAAAGGACAAAGATAATGTCGCTTAAATATGTGTTCCGTTATAGGTCAAGCATCTCCTTTTGGACCGTGGAACAGATGGCGACCATGGTGCTTCTGTGTCTGGGCAGGAAATTGTCCGTGCAGATGGTGGTTCGGAATACCGTTTTAGCCGCATCTTAAACTTTTTCAAGAAGATTTGTTCATCCGACATCACTTGAACTTCGTAGAGAACGAGGTTAGACCAGCATTCATCTTAACGATGTCAGACATATTGGATCCCCAGTGTTCTTCCTGAACGTTGACCAACCACGGGTTTACAAGACATAATAAAATGTTGAACTATAAACGATGTTTGTAATATTTTTGTAAAAGGCTGTCTCCACACTTAGTTGTATCAATGTGTATAAGTGAACGGTCGTTAACAGACTAAACATAGCGTATGTTCACGAGGAAAACAAAACATGTTCGTTGACGATTGAATAATTTGTTTTGATATACAAATAAATTTACACTTTTCCTTCATCTTAAAACTGTATAGTTTTCACTGTATTCTTTATGGTTGAGTGTGAACAGGACAAGTGTCATCAAACTCATAAAAATTTGCTGTTAAATATTTGGCAAAGAATATCTAGAAGAAAATGTCATGACCAAGTTTCACCTTACTATATATGGAGAAGTGTGATCAGGACGAGTGCCATGACTAAGTTTCACCGTACGCTATACGGTAAAGTGTGATCTGATCGAGTGCCATGACTAAGTTTCACCGTACGCTATAAGGTGAAGTGTGATCTTGACGAGTGCCATGACCAAGTTTCACCGTACACTATATGGTCGAGTGTGATCAGGACGAGAGTGACAACAAAGTTTCACTGTAATCTATATGGTAAAGTGTTGAAGTGTGATCAGGACAAGTGTCATGACAAAGTTACGCTGAACCTTATATGGTGAAGTGTTATCAGGACGAGTGTCATGACAAAGTTACAAAGTACTATATATGGTGAAGTGTGATCTGGACGAGTGTCACGGCAAAGTTACCATGTACTTTTTAGGGTGAAGTGTGATCTGGACGAGTGTCACGAAAAAGTTACCATGTACTCTTTATGGTGAAGTGTGATCTGGACGAGTGTCACGACAAAGTTACCATGAACTTTATAAGGTGAAGTGTGATCAGGACGAGTGTCACGACAAAGTTACTATGTTCTCTTTATGGTGAAGTGTGATCTGGACGAGTGTCACGACAAAGTTACCATGTACTCTTTATGGGGAAGTGTGATCTGGACGAGTGTCACGACCAAGTCACCATGTACTCTTTATTGTGAAGTGTGATCTGGACGAGTGTCACGACAAAGTAACCATGTCCACTTTAGGGGAAGTGTGACCTGGACGAGTGTCACGACAAAGTTACCATGTACTCTTTATGGTGAAGTGTGATCTGGACGGGTGTCACGACAAAGTTACACTGTACTCTTTATTGTGAAGTGTAATCTGGACGAGTGTCACGACAAAGTAACCATGTCCACTTTAGGGGAGGTGTGATCTGGACGAATGTCACGACAAAGTTACAATGTACTCTTTATGGTGAAGTGTGATCTTGACGAGTGTCACGACAAAGTTACCATGTCCTCTTTATGATGAAGTGTGATCTGGACAAGTGTCACAACAAAGTTTCACTGTAATCTATATGGTAAAGTGTTGAAGTGTGATCAGGACAAGTGTCATGACAAAGTTACGCTGAACCTTATATGGTGAAGTGTTATCAGGACGAGTGTCATGACAAAGTTACAAAGTACTATATATGGTGAAGTGTGATCTGGACGAGTGTCATAACAAAGTTACCATGTACTTTATATGGTGAAGTGCGATCAGGACGAGTGTCACGGCAAAGTTACCATGTACTCTTTCTGGTGAAGTGTGATCTGGACGAGTGTCACGAAAAAGTTACCATGTACTCTTTATGGTGAAGTGTGATCTGGACGAGTGTCACGACAAAGTTACCATGAACTTTATATGGTGAAGTGTGATCAGGACGAGTGTCACGACAAAGTAACCATGTACTCCTTATGATGAAGTATGATCTGGACGAGTGTCACGACAAAGTTACACTGTACTCTTTATGGGGAAGTGTGATCTGGACAAATGTCACGACAAAGTTACCATGTTCTCTTTATGGAGAAGTTTGATCTGGACGAGTGTCATAACAAAGTTACACTGTACTCTTTATGGGGAAGTGTGATCTGGACAAATGTCACGACAAAGTTACCACGTACTCTTTATGGAGAAGTATGATCTGGACGAGTGTCACGACAAAGTTACCATGTACTTTTTATGGTGAAGTGTGATCTGGACGAGTGTCACGACAAAGTTACCACGTACTCTTTATGGTGAAGTGTGATCTGGACGAGTGGCACGAAAAAGTAACCATGTCCACTTTAGGGGAAGTGTGATCTGGCCGAGTGTCACGACAAAGTTACCATGTACTCTTTATGGGGAAGTGTGATCTGGACGGGTGTCACGACAAAGTTACACTGTACTTTTTATGGTGAAGTGTGATCTGGACGAGTGTCATGACAAAGTTACACTGTACTCTAAATGGTGAGTTGTGATCTGGACGAGTGTCACGACAAAGTTACCATGTACTCTTTATGGTGAAGTATGATCTCGACGAGTGTCATGACAAAGTTACCAAGTACTCTTTATGGTGAAGTATGATCTGGACGAGTGTCACGACAAAGTTACCATTTACTCTTTATGGTGAAGTATGATCTCGACGAGTGTCAGGACAAAGTTACCAAGTACTCTTTATGGTGAGGTATGATCTGGACGAGTGTCACGACAAAGTTACCATGTACTCTTTATGTTGAAGTATGATCTGGACGAGTGTCACAACAAAGTTACAATGTACTCTTTATGGTGAAGAGTGATCTGGACAAGTGTCACGACAAAGTTACCATGTACTCTTTATTGTGAAGTCTGATCTGGACGAGTGTCACGACAAAGTTACCATGTACTCTTTATGGTGAAGTGTGATCTGGACGAGTGTCGCGACAAAGTTACAATGTACTATATATGGTGAAGTGTGATCTGGACGAGTGTCGTGACAAAGTTACCAAGTACTCTTTATGGTGAAGTATGATCTGGACGAGTGTCACGACAAAGTTACAATGTACTCTTTATGGTGAAGTGTGATCTGGACGAGTGTCACAACAAAGTTACAATGTACTCTTTAAGGTGAAGTGTGATCTGGACGAGTGTCACGACAAAGTTACCATGTAGTCTTTATGGTGAAGTATGATCTGGACGAGTGTCACAACAAAGTTACAATGTACTCTTTATGGTGAAGTGTGATCTGGACGAGTGTCACGACAAAGTTACACTGTACTCTAAATGGTGAAGTGTGATCTGGACGAGTGTCACGACAAAGTTGCCATGTACTCTTTATGGTGAAGTATGATCTGGACGAGTGTCAGGACAAAGTTACAATGTACTCTTTATGGTGAAGTGTGATCTGGACGAGTGTCACGACAAAGTTACCATCTTTTTATGGTGAAGTATGATCTGGACGAGTGTCACTACAAAGTTACCATGTTCTCTTTATGGTGAAGTGTGATCTGGACAAGTGTCACGCCAAAGGAAGTGTGATCTGGACGAGTGTCACGACAAAGTTACAATGTGCTCTTTATGGTGAAGTATGATCTGGACGAGTGTCACGACAAAGTTACACTGTACTCTAAATGGTGAAGTGTGATCTGGACGAGTGTCACGACAAGGTTACCATCTTTTTATGGTGAAGTATGATCTGGACGAGTGTCATGACAAAGTTACAATGTACTCTTTATGGTGAAGTGTGATCTGGACAAGTGTCACGACAAAGTTGCCATGTACTCTTTATGGTGAAGTATGATCTGGACGAGTGTCACGACAAAGTTACAATGTACTCTTTATGGTGAAGTGGGATCTGGACAAGTGTCACGACAAAGTTACCATGTACTCTTTATGGTGAAGTGTGATCTGGATGAGTGTCACGACAAAGTTACAATGTACTTGATATGGTGAAGAGTGACTTTGAAAGTGGGCCTAGGTCATTTTTGTTTACGCAACCTTTGTTAAGCTCCACAAAGAAAGCTACCACTACATCATGAATATTGTCCGTTCGTCTTCTGAAGTAGCCGTTTGAAGTTTTTGACATATTTGACCCCTGTAACAATGAAAGTTGGTCAAGGTCATTTTTATTTGCAATCTTTGTTGGGCTCCACCCTTCGGGCCAGGTAAGCTAATAAAACCAAACCACTGATCCGGTTTTTCGACTATCAATATTCCAATTTCGTTTATCTTGTCAAAACTGCATTACAATGCAAAACACTTATTGCAGCTTCATTATATAGGCTCACATATAGCTGTCCAGAAACCATTTTTTTTGTAAAGAATAACATAAGGATTTCTTTGTGAATCTATTACATAAATTTTTGGCTACATTTATTTTTAATTAAAAATGAACAAAAGTGCATATAGACATAGATGTACACATGTCACTGAAAACAAGCTCATCTACTTTCATATTTGACGCAAACTTTGTCATAAGTTTGAGAAAATGGAGTACTTTTTACTAAAAATGAACTTGTGTTCTGTGTATGCATAAACACTGTTTTTAAATGCGTGTCCGTTTCACATTAAGTTCATGAAATGCGTCAAGCAATTTTTTTTTAGCAATGTTCTGCCAAACTGATTCCCAAAAACTTGGGAATTCTCATTAGATATACAACCACCTAGAGATTCCTCGCTGTTTTAAGTTCATGTATTTCAAAGAGAGTTCCATTTATTTTTCTTCAAAACAAAGATGCAATTTGTACCAAATATGAACCTTTACATAACCTGCTTACTAAATAAGTTTAATGCATTTAAGCCATTACTATTTTTTGTGTCTGAATATTGCAGTATTTTTTTTTTTAAATGATCATTTCAATGTCTTCAGGGATTTTTTTCGAATATGATAATACTGTTCATCGCCCAAGATACAATGATTCCATTGGCTCTATATCAACTTAAACATTATGCCATTCAATGTAACTAACATATTGCACAGTTTTAAAATTTTTCTTAATCTCAATGACAGGAAATCAAAGACACTTAATCGGTACATCATTTTTTTCAAACTAAGATATGTACACTGTATTTCACAACATGAACATCATATTGTTCATTTCATTTTGTTCTGTAGTAAAAATAAACCAAACTGAACATTCACTGATCACTGTTCATCTGACGTTTACCCCTACAAGGGTAAATAAATATCCCGGACGTGACGTCATCGGCTAAAACACCAGAAGTGACAACGTGTACTGCCCTACCAAATGCCTCACTGGTTTTGTGGTGGAGCAGATTTCTGAAAGAAAAGTTACATAAATGTTTATTAGCTTTTAAACATATAGTGTTGGTTATATCAAAATATAGAACAGTCTGCATTAAAAATATAATTTTGGAGAACCATTTTTTGCTTTTCAATGTAACTTTTTTTTTTAAACTGATGCTTATATTAATTTATTTGCATGATTTGGTAATTAATAATTGCAATATTTTTAAAGATTTCCAAAACAAAATTCACAAGGATATTGAATATTAATGGACTGTTTGTTACTTATAACCGAGGTAATGTAGCAAGGGAGATAACTGGGGTTCATTTCATATCTGTCATGTTAGTTATGATACACATCAAAATACAATATGTACTTAACACATCCTGTTGCTACAGTTGCAGTCTGGGTCAATATTAATAATAATAATAATTTGAGGTTCTTATATACCGCTTTATCACAACCTAGTTCGAATGTCGTCTCAAAGCGGTTCACAAATTATTATCCGTGGTTATAGGGCCTTTGCAACCAGCCAATATCTTTCTCAACTCCCTAGGGAGTATACAACCGGAGCTGCCATTTCGGCGCACACAGCTAGCATTCAACAATTCTAGCACTGCCCAACCATGTACTCATTTACAGCTGAGTAGACTGGAACAAGCGGAGTAAAGTATCCTGCTCAAAGATACAACACATTGTTGTTCCGTGACTTGAACACGCAACCCTTCGGTCACAAGCCCGGCGTCCTACCACTAAACAACCGAGCCTCCTATATTCATGAAACTGTTCTCATGCTCAAGCAAGAATTCTGTACTCAAACCAATTTCCTTGTTACTTGCATAATTCATGCGATGATATGGTCAGAATTAATAAAAGTCAAGTCTAGCCATTGAAAATGGTTTTCTTTCAAATCTCCGACAAAAATGTTAACTTTTATGACTTTATCACCAGAATAAGAAACTGAACTTGAGCCAAAGCCGAGTATGAGATCAGTTTAATGGATACGGACCCTAATCTTCTATCATTTATCTTTAAATTTTGTAACCACCCCTTGGCTCCATCTCACTTTCTGCTCAATTGCAGAGTGTTCACCCATGTGAGGAAGCCAATGAGTTCTGTCTTTGGGTCAGTGTTCACCTATGTGAGGAAGCCAATGGGTTCTGTCTTTGGGTCAGTGTTCACCCATGTGAGGAAGCCAATGGGTTCTGTCTTTGGGTCAGTGTTCACCAATATGAGGAAGCCAATGGGTTCTGTCTTTGGGTCAGTGTTCACCTATGTGAGGAAGCCAATGGGTTCTGTCTTTGGGTCAGTGTTCACCCATGTGAGGAAGCCAATGGGTTCTGTCGTTGGGTCAGGACTTACCAATGTCATTAAAAATGGTATTTGTTATTTCCTGCTAAACGTTCAACGTTAAGGGTAAGCACAGCAAATGGTTTACCCGTTGTCAGTATACTATTACTGGGAGGTGTACTGTGTTGAATGCCTGTGTATAGTCTTTAAGTGAGATAACACACTAAAGTCAGTATCAGATCCACGTGAAGTCAGGCCAATGCACCCACATAACCTGCCCCCAGCACACAGCATACACTACACACATGGAGGCAAGCCCTTAAATCATCATAGTTGTTAATAGGACCCGAACCCAATAAAGCAAACTAAAAAGGATAAATAGTATTGAATTATATAAGTTGGTTTGGATACATTACAACACATTTCTCCCTTTCTCTTGTTTTAAATTAACTCATATCATTAACCCCTGAACTTTCATGATGAACTATTCCAATCTTTGAATTGGAAGAGTTCAAATGTGTCTTCAGGGTTGAATGAGTTAAGTTCTATCAGGGTACATCTAACAATCTGGACCTGATCTTTTCCTAATTATATTAGTCACCCAAAAGCCAGTTCAAACAACTTAACAAGTTCCCCCCACACATGCAAACAACTTAGTGGTTTTTTTCTCAAATACATGCCCCGGTTGCTCAAAGTTTGGTTAACATTAACTAGTGGTCAGTGAAAAATTCCAATTATTACCAACAAAATTCAGCTCTTACAAAATGGAATAAGTCTCCAAAACACATCAATTTCATTTTTGTCTCAACAAAACAAAACTAAGGCACTTATGATATGAGATGTTCTTGATTTTGTTGTATTCCTATCTAAAAGGTTTTTTAACCACTGGTTAACTCTTACCAGCCTCAGAGCAACTGGGGCCAGGCCTCAATAAACCATACCTGTGCTGGTGCATATCCGGGGGGAGCAACATCGGAGTATTTCGGCGGGGCAGCCGCTGGGTATCCTGCGGCGGCAGGTTGTTGATAGCCTTGTTGGGCTGGCTGTGGGTAGCCCTGCTGCGGGTAGCCCTGCTGTGGGGGGTAGCCCTGCTGTGGGGGGTAGCCCTGCTGTGGGGGATAGCCCTGGGGGTAGACAACATTCTGATTGGATGTTGTTGTCACAACAGAAGTTGTCCCATACTCTGGCTGTCCAAACCGTACGTAGTTCTGACGAGCACGTCGGCGTCGCAAGCATATGACACAGCTAACGATAGAAAAGAAGATGATGACCCAAATAGACCAGAACCCTGTGACAAAAAAAAACAGGAAAAACATTTAACACTTCAGGAGGGGACATAACTCTGCTACGATCTCAGGGCTCTGGGTGTGGTTATAAATAAATGAAATGTCTTGTAAAATACTTTTCAAAAGTAGATTTAGAATAATTTTTTTTTAGAAAACCTTGAATCATTATCCTTACCTAAATAGACTTTTGTTAAAGCTATTGACGTCTCCACATTGTATACCCCCCTTGTTAGTTGTTCACAAGTAAGTTTCGAAGCAGTTTTGAGAGGTCTGACTTAAATTAGACTGTTTATTCATATGATCAATTCTGTCATCCACAGCATGACAGCATTTTTGTTACAGTTCATGCAAGAATAAGACAACAGACAAACATGATTCCTTCCATTGAGGCTGCTAGTAGCATCATTTTAATATCTAATATTTCTTTTTAAATTTTGTTCTAGCGAGATCATTTGTGAAAGAAGATAAATTCCAATTTTCTACACTATCCCTTTGTTTCTTATACCAATGGCATTTGTCATGGACTAATACAGATTTTGAGAAATATTTGCACATAGTTTATCCTTCAGAACTTGAGAGTCAAGATAATTCTTCTGCTTGATATCTTCATATTATTACTAGTTATGATCATCTTGCTTCTGTATAACAAAAGGAACGACTTTAATTCCTGAAGGGTAACTTTCTTTCCTTCACAAGTCTTTTGGCTTTTGAAGTTTACATTTCACAGAATCATCAATACTCCAGGGTTTATGCTCAGTTTCGCTCTCTGCACCCCTGGAATACATCATGACAAAATTGAAGGCTCAGTGTGCACCATTATGTGGATCAGAAGAGAAAACTAGTTTGATACTTTGATGTACATCAACAGAATCTTTCGTTCATGCAACAGTAAATTTGACTGGCTCTGACGTTGGGTGTTGCTACTCTGTAATCTTCAGAAGGCAGGTATGGACCTAGCGATTGGTCAGGGTTTTTTTCACCCGAGACCGATTATATAGCTTGGCTAATGCCTTCAATTTTGCTATGACATATTCCAGAGGTGCAGAGTCCGGAAAGGGGGGCAACGCCTGGAGTATCGAGGATGATTTCATAGCTGATTTGGTACTAAACGAGCCTCTTCTTAGTATCAGGAATATCTGGAAAGATTAGTTCTGTTTGAACTTTTGACTAATAAATAACATAGTCAAGGTTTTCTATCAAAGATATTTCAAACTACACTGAGGTAGTGATACGGCGGTCATCCTACTTTTGAGCTATTAGGGTCTTATATCTACCATGATGAAACAGTCAGTGTCTTAGATCTTTGACGGGTGCAACATGCGGTGCAGGACACCAACCCCAGACACACACCCCCTCCTACCATAAATAACTACCACTTCTAATTTTAGTGGAAATTCATATTTTACTCCTCAGGCTCTCATATCGTCATTTCATACTGATTCTAAGATATTAAGAGGTAATCCTTGTGTATTGTGGTATTTCTTTCTATTCACTTTCAAAGAGCAACGTAAAGAAATGACAAGAAGGTTTTCCAGAAGCTCTCTGGATACTTTTTCCAAGAAGCCAAATGTTATTGATCTCTAATAAGCAGAATATCACTTTATGGTATTGTTGACTGATTGATGCTTTTTTATACTTATAAATACTGATATGGAAAGACATTGTTTGCAGATTAAAATTTAGAGCATATTCTTTGTCAAAAGTATGGGTTAGTTTTTTTAGCGAAACAGACAATGATTTCTAGAGTACAACCCAGCAGGCACACAACAATTATTCAACGTTGAAATGAAGTTGTAATTTGGTCGTGACGTTGATAAACGTTACATCAACTTCGATTCAATGTTATTTTTTCAATGTTGAAATGTTGTTGTAATATGACGTTTAAACAATGTTGATTAATTTCATTTTTATCAATCTTATTAACATTGCTGAATCTCAACGTTAATCAACGTCGATTCAACGACCTGTTTTCAATTGTTAATGATATCCTATATTTTATATTTGGTTATTATATATAGAAACATAACGATTTTCATGGTCATAGGTAAAAAAAAAATGAAAGTATCATAATTGTGCAAGCATTATCTACTGGGGGATTTGAAATCATGTTGTTGAACTTATGGGGAAATTGAAAGAATTAATTAAAATCTGGAGTCGTTTTCTTGGTCCGAAAGAAGGTTGAATGGTTAATGTACAATTCAACGTCGAGCTTCAACGTTTAGTCAACGTCGTGCTTCAACGTTGAATTCTGGTACGTTATTTCAACTTTCAAAATCAAATATAAATTAAACGTTTAAACATCGTTGAGCTTCAACGTTGAATAAACGTTTATTCAACGTATATGTGCCTGCTGGGAAGGTTAAACATGATACATTTATGCTTTCCTTATACTATGTCATCAACAATACGTACACCAGTACTGGTAGACAAAGGTTTGGTAACAACAGATATCGGAGAAGTCGCTGCAGCAATAGGCACCATCTGTAACATAAACAATAATATTATCTGTCGAGACCAGAGTCAGCGGGACTAAAACGGTAAAATTTATCATCGAAAATAACATTTTAGAAAATTTGCCACAAAACTTAAAACATTCTCTTAACTTGTTCACCCCTGAAATCTCATAATGAACTATTCCTACCTCTGAATTGGAAGAGTTCAAATGTGTCTTCAGAGGTGAATGAGTTAATTACACTAATTAAAAGTGTCTGAATGCATATTTCATAAATGCTGGAATCAGTCAAATCATAACTTTGCAACCCATGACTACTCACTCATACAATAACACTTGTAGGTTTATCTTTAATGTAAACGAGCCTCTCATTGTTCATGAACACCAGCCAAAAAAACCCACAAAAGTTTCAATCCCGTAAAAATATGTCCATATACAACAAAGTTAACGGTGTGGTTACGCATATCTCTTTAAACTTTTCAGTCTATTGAATCATTTATAGAACTGATTTCCTATTTCCAGGGCATGAAAAATACGGCAATAGTATGTATGGTATTATCCCATGAATAAACTTGCTTATTACACTCGGGTGTAGTACATTGTAACGGCTTGTATTTTCTAATCGCAATAACCTACCATAGTAACCTGTAATACCCTTGTATACGCTGTAACAAGATGTCCGAAAGGATTGATATGGTCTATGAAAATGTAGATCACACTAGTAAAGTTAATGTACCCTATGTTTATAAATGACGTACATATACATTGAAAGACATGTTTGATGAAGATAAATACTTCAGATAGGACATGTATAGATGTAAATAGAAACAGACCCATCAAAATTTGATTTGATTATAAACAAGATAGACCACGCGATTGATCAGTCTAGGGCTGCAACGATACATTAACAGGGCGTTACAATACTTTGGTCACGATACAAAATTTTAAATAAGTAGAAGCAAAGTGAAAAGATATGTTTCAAATCTTTAATGGCGATATTACAACTGGAAACAGGCCTGGTCCAACATGGGCATGACTTGTTTCACACAATAAGTGTGTGCATGCCGAGCTGTCATGTTGGGACAGATATGAGTAGGCTAAATTCAGAAACAACAATATCTGGAAAAAATCGTTTGTGTATCATGACCTCCCCGAAAATATTGTGTATCGTATGGTATTAAAAATATCGCGCTAAATTGTCGCACAATATATCATTGCAGCCATATTGGTCACTCGTCAATAGGGAATGTCATCTGTTGATTGGCTAATGATGCCTCCAATCCATTATACAATCTTATATACCTAAAAAGCACCTTCATTTCAGCACAGCAGTTGTTTTCAATATATTGTTTGTTTTTATTTTGTTTATCGTCCTCTTAAACAGCTACAGGTCATTTAAAGACATGCCTCCATGTTTGTAGTGTTTGCATGCTTGTGTGTGTGTGTGCTGGAGGCAGGCTTAAATATTTAGTCAATTATGACTCAGTTTTTGTCTTCGGTATATTAACACCTTGTCAATGTACAGAGTTGGCCTTAGTAGATTTAAACAATTGAGAGCTACTCACCTCCATAACACCAGGTGCTAGAATATGGGTAGTCGCTGTTGATGCACAGAATGTCGCCCTAAAACAGATCTTACTTTTATTAACTATGCTTAATTAGGTAAAACAAAAACACCTTCAACGCATTAAAAACTCGTTAATTAAAAGACTTATTAATGCAGTAATGATAAACCAAACGATTGAGGAGATCTCTAAGAAGTGTGACATGTACAAGGTTGTCAGAATGTTGACAACGACCATTTACCCAGTAAAGGGTAAGTTCGTTGGAGACTGAAGAATTTAGCCAGTAGATTAATACAGTGTTTCTAAGTGTGGCGGAACTGGACTGGGTCAAGAATAGATAGATAAATTGTCCGTCTAGAGTTCAGAGGGTCCCAGGTTCGAACCCCAGTCGGACCGTTGCATTTCTTTTTCTCACGTTACAAATTTGGTGCCCAACAAAATATTTCCACGGAAGGTGGTATAGGGTCTCCTGTGTCTTCGAGGTCAAAGACTTGATATATAAGATGGAGGAATGTGGCGGAACTGGGCTGGGTCGACCAACGGCGACAAGAAAGCTCATTGGTAGACCATCTGTCTAGAGTTTGGTGGGTCCCAGGGTCTGGCTGTTGCATTTTTCATTCTCTTGTTACATTAAAATGGAGATCGTATATTAGAGTAGAGTGTTAAGGGTGTTCTCAGCCAGTTTAAAGTACACATGTACATTTAGCCTGTAGTATAACAGTGTAGTAGATGTAGGGGTTATCAGTCAGTTGACCATGTACATTTAGCCAGTGGTATGAAAGTGTAGTAGATGTAGGGGTTATCAGTCATTTGACAATGTACATTTAGCCAGTAACATGACAGTGTAGTAGATGTAGGGGTTATCAGTCAGTCGACCATGTACATTTAGCCAGTAGTATAACAGTGTAGTAGATGTAGGGGTTATCAGTCAGTTGACCATGTACATTTAGCCAGTAGTATAACAGTGTAGTAGATGTAGGGGTTATCAGTCAGTCGACCATGTACATTTAGCCAGTAGTATAACAGTGTAGTAGATGTAGGGGTTATCAGTCAGTTGACCATGTACATTTAGCCAGTAGTATAACAGTGTAGTAGATGTAGGGGTTATCAGTCAGTCGACCATGTACATTTAGCCAGTAGTATAACAGTGTAGTAGATGTAGGGGTTATCAGTCAGTTGACCATGTACATTTAGCCAGTAGTATAACAGTGTAGTAGATGTAGGGGTTATCAGTCAGTCGACCATGTACATTTAGCCAGTAGTATAACAGTGTAGTAGATGTAGGGGTTATCAGTCAGTTGACCATGTACATTTAGCCAGTAGTATAACAGTGTAGTAGATGTAGGGGTTATCAGTCAGTCGACCATGTACATTTAGCCAGTAGTATAACAGTGTAGTAGATGTAGGGGTTATCAGTCAGTTGACCATGTACATTTAGCCAGTAGTATAACAGTGTAGTAGATGTAGGGGTTATCAGTCAGTTGACCATGTACATTTAGCCAGTAGTATAACAGTGTAGTAGATGTAGGGGTTATCAGTCAGTTGACCATGTACATTTAGCCAGTAGTATAACAGTGTAGTAGATGTAGGGGTTATCAGTCAGTCGACCATGTACATTTAGCCAGTAGTATAACAGTGTAGTAGATGTAGGGGTTATCAGTCAGTTGACCATGTACATTTAGCCAGTAGTATAACAGTGTAGTAGATGTAGGGGTTATCAGTCAGTCGACCATGTACATTTAGCCAGTAGTATAACAGTGTAGTAGATGTAGGGGTTATCAGTCAGTTGACCATGTACATTTAGCCAGTAGTATAACAGTGTAGTAGATGTAGGGGTTATCAGTCAGTCGACCATGTACATTTAGCCAGTAGTATAACAGTGTAGTAGATGTAGGGGTTATCAGTCAGTTGACCATGTACATTTAGCCAGTAGTATGACAGTGTAGTAGATGTAGGGGTTATCAGTCAGTCGACCATGTACATTTAGCCAGTAGTATAACAGTGTAGTAGATGTAGGGGTTATCAGTCAGTTGACCATGTACATTTAGCCAGTAGTATGACAGTGTAGTAGATGTAGGGGTTATCAGTCAGTCGACCATGTACATTTAGCCAGTAGTATAACAGTGTAGTAGATGTAGGGGTTATCAGTCAGTTGACCATGTACATTTAGCCAGTAGTATGACAGTGTAGTAGATGTAGGGGTTATCAGTCAGTCGACCATGTACATTTAGCCAGTAGTATAACAGTGTAGTAGATGTAGGGGTTATCAGTCAGTTGACCATGTACATTTAGCCAGTAGTATAACAGTGTAGTAGATGTAGGGGTTATCAGTCAGTCGACCATGTACATTTAGCCAGTAGTATAACAGTGTAGTAGATGTAGGGGTTATCAGTCAGTTGACCATGTACATTTAGCCAGTAGTATAACAGTGTAGTAGATGTAGGGGTTATCAGTCAGTTGACCATGTACATTTAGCCAGTAGTATAACAGTGTAGTAGATGTAGGGGTTATCAGTCAGTTGACCATGTACATTTAGCCAGTAGTATAACAGTGTAGTAGATGTAGGGGTTATCAGTCAGTTGACCATGTACATTTAGCCAGTAGTATAACAGTGTAGTAGATGTAGGGGTTATCAGTCAGTTGACCATGTACATTTAGCCAGTAGTATAACAGTGTAGTAGATGTAGGGGTTATCAGTCAGTTGACCATGTACATTTAGCCAGTAGTATAACAGTGTAGTAGATGTAGGGGTTATCAGTCAGTTGACCATGTACATTTAGCCAGTAGTATAACAGTGTAGTAGATGTAGGGGTTATCAGTCAGTTGACCATGTACATTTAGCCAGTAGTATAACAGTGTAGTAGATGTAGGGGTTATCAGTCAGTTGACCATGTACATTTAGCCAGTAGTATGACAGTGTAGTAGATGTAGGGGTTATCAGTCAGTTGACCATGTACATTTAGCCAGTAGTATAACAGTGTAGTAGATGTAGGGGTTATCAGTCAGTCGACCATGTACATTTAGCCAGTAGTATAACAGTGTAGTAGATGTAGGGGTTATCAGTCAGTTGACCATGTACATTTAGCCAGTAGTATGACAGTGTAGTAGATGTAGGGGTTATCAGTCAGTTGACCATGTACATTTAGCCAGTAGTATAACAGTGTAGTAGATGTAGGGGTTATCAGTCAGTCGACCATGTACATTTAGCCAGTAGTATAACAGTGTAGTAGATGTAGGGGTTATCAGTCAGTCGACCATGTACATTTAGCCAGTAATATAACAGTGTAGTAGATGTAGGGGTTATCAGTCAGTCCACCATGTACATTTAGCCAGTAGTATAACAGTGTTGTAGATGTAGGGGTTATAAGTCAGTTGACCATGTACATTTAGCCAGTAGTATGACAGTGTAGTAGATGTAGGGGTTATCAGTCAGTTGACCATGTACATTTAGCCAGTAGTATAACAGTGTACTAAGATGTAGGGGTTATCAGTCAGTTGACAATGTACATTTAGCCAGTAGTATAACAGTGTAGTAGATGTAGGGGTTATAAGTCAGTTGACAATAGACAGTAGTAAATCGGTGTAGTGGGTGATGCGGTTATCAGTTGAGTGTTCATCATTTTAGTGGCTATTTTTTTCATTAACTAAGTTGACATTAGCTGGCTGTCTTTTGTCAGCATTGTCAAATGACTTACCGGGATGGGGATGGGTGGTGTGGGTTGGTTATTGGTCAGATGAGTATTTTGCAATTAATATGGGCATTGCAGAACTGGCCGCGCTCCGATTATAGTGCGATATTTGTAGATGCGTGTAATGACTTGTACAAATATCGGCCAGTTGACAATTCACATCTAGCCTTTTCCTTTTTTGTATAAAATAATATATATAACGAGTGTTTAATATATTGTTAGTTATATGTTGACGTGGGCAACTTGTTCAACAACACCCGCACGTGATGCTTTGTAACATAAACAAATACTGTTGGACATTGTTTTCTTAACAATGATATTACTTCCCTTGTTATTGCAAGACAGTCTACGTACCTTTACATGATAAAGAAGTCCGGTCAAGATGACCAGTAAGGACTCAGTCCAGCCCATGTCGCTATTGTTTTGATTCTGTCTGGATTCCGAGGTACGGCCCGTTGTGTCTATTTCTCATCCAGCACACCAGTAGATGAGATTTTATACTTCCTGTTTACCGTGACGGCTTTCCCCACATGACACGCCAGGTCATATGACCCTGTGCAGGTTATCTCGTCACGTTACTTTCCGTTATCTCATGTCGTACACTCCTTGATCTATGTTATAACATCACATCGTTTCATCACCTAACTCATGTAATATTTCTTTATTTTTAATGATCTTTATAAATTTTACAATGATACGTTTAACTCCTGAATTACGTAACAATTAAGATGCCGATATAAGTATACGTCTCTGATATTATAACCATTCCAGGTTAACAGTTGAGATGCTTTTATTTATTTAGGAATCGAAGACATAACGATTTGTTGTTAATAATACCACGGACTTAGATAATCTAATCTAATTCCGTGATAATACAGTACAAAGACGTTCAACAATTTGGACTTGTGCAAGTCTATTGTCATTTACTTAAAATAAGAAAAGGATAGGCATACTTTTGCTGGGTGGCGAATCGATCTTAGTGGACTCCGAAGTCTCGATTCATCGGTCGAACGTGTAAAAGGTATTTGGTCACATCACGTGCATTTTCTTCATATTTTCTTTTTTATTTCACTCGGACCAGAGACTGCTCAGACGTACGCTTTAGTGGTGTGTTACAATATTCCACTAATTCAAGGCGGATATGAGTGATTAATAAAATCAGTGGATCAAATTTGTTTCGTAATTGTGGTCAAATAAGTATTTAATATATATAGACATGTGAAATAAGTGCTACTCGATATCAGTGATAACACGATATACATAATATATATGTGTTATATTAATTGTATATATATTGTGTTAGAATTTTTTTCATAAAAAGAATTAAGTTTTTAAGTCATGCTAATTTCCTACGAATTTTCTTTCGATACATCCTTTATAGGGATTATAAATTTTGAAATTAAAAACTAATTTTTCTTACGTCTTACTAATTTTAATTAATTGTTTCACGTTCGTATTTAAATAATTATTTCTTTGTGAAGATTGAATGGCGTTATATGATGCCCCGCCTTGGGGCCAGTTCGGACAGACAGTCTGGGCAGAGACATATAAAGCCAGTATATATAGTCTCTTGTCTGGGGTAAGTTCGACTCACGTTGGAAACAGCATAATTATGACCTCAGTCATTAGCCCGCAACGTTAGATTTCCCGCCAATTTCACGATGTTGCATGAGTCGCCTATGCCCCGGTATCATGGGCCGAACCTGCCCCTAACTATTTCAAGAAGTTCGTATATTACAGCAATACACAAGTCAGCGCTAGGCTTTTATGTATACCATCATGTGAAGCTGTCAATGTGCTACACGTATGATATAAATAAGGAACAATTCGATTTACAGAAAGTTCGCAAAACTAGAAGGAAGTGAGGTCATGATTTTCTTTTTCCTTCAAATTTTAAGTAACTTCCTCCGTTTAAATAACATATCTTCGTCATTTTTCAAGCGAGTGTCCCGCCCAGGAAACTTAACTGCTATAACTGTATAAGATACATAACTGTATAAGTTCTTCAAAGTTATAACATTTATACAAGACTATTTTTTTTTAATTTTGCACTCTTTGTCCTGAAAAAAACCCACAGGTTCGAAAGCTCGCGAAATATGTTCAATTACATCAGGGACGTATATACTGTCCCTGATAACATTTACTGTTTGTGTTCAAAAAACTTTGCAATTATTATTTATACGAAACCGATGAATCTCATGAATTCCAAATTACATATTTATTATTTTGCTATCGCCAATAAATTAGTGATATCACCTAACCATTATACAACGTCATCCCCTAATCATTATAGTGATATTACCAATAAATGATCAACTTTCTGTCGCATTTCCCCACATTTTTCATCTCTGACCTCAGTGTTCTGCATGGTCGAGTGAGAATGACCCCTTCCACTATTTAGACGTACAGATACGCCTCGTCTCTCGAAGTTTTGTTCACGCCGCGTTTACACGAACAACTATCAAATTATATATTTTCTCATTATGTTAAGATTTTTAATATTAATTCACTTGACCTCACGTATTCCAGGTGCAGTATTTACTATAATTAGCATTCGGTTACAAGCTAACCGAGGGGATATGCAATTACAACTATATTTATGTATTCTTTATTGTTTACTTATTTCATGGTGACTGTTTTTCTTTGTTTTATGTTGTAATATGTAAATGTTCATGTTCCTGTCTTGATAAAGGAGCAGATCGCCCTGAAAATTTGACACATTTCTTTGTCTGCACTATCCGTTGTTACTTCTTTGCCAATAAATGAAAGTGATGTAAATAACAAATATTTCGGGTTTTTTTTATGATTTTTCGTAATCTGGTGCTAACAGAGAGCATTTTTATTCCTCTCGTGAAGCTGGCTGTAACACACTTTTAACAGCATTTAGAAATTCAGTAGAATATACAAAATGTACATGTATCTGACAATTTCGGCGCTGCTATTGTTGCGACCTTGCTTTCAATTGTTGATGTGACGTCATTTCTGTCGTTGGTATGCTCACATATGACAACGGTAATTTTGCGAGACCAACGGACAAATCAAATTAGTCGCGTTACATTTTTGTGTCCAACTTACGGAATGGCAAAATTTCCTATTTGAATATTCAGATTCATTGTGCACTCAGCTGAGACTAAGTAAAATATAAAACAAACGTCATGCGCTTGTTTGTACAAAAGTCGAAAATGTATTTTTGTTGACAATATATTCAACAACACAAGATATTTTAACATGAGCGCTTAGTTCATCGTAGATACAGTATACGCCATTAACGGTCAGCAAATGGCCTTTTTGAAAATTTCGTTATTGATCAAGCACTTATAAGCTTTTACTTCTTAAAAATATAGAGGTTTAATTTTAGAAAAAGATGATTTTTGGGCTTCTCTGCTCGAAGTCACTTATATATATTATATATAAAATGTTTGCTAAAGTTCAGATCATTTTTTAAAATTGACAAATACTAGTTCAATAACTTTTATATACTTTTTTCTCATACTTTACACTAATTGTTTCTTCTATCCAGGTTAACAGTATGAATTTGGGCATATTTTTAAGCAATTATGTACTAACTTCCTTCATCATTTATGAAAAAACGCATCCATTCCTGTATAAAGTAAATGATAACTTTTATTAAAATTGATTTATATTTCTAATAAATGTAAAAACATTTTTGGAGCTAATTAGATTTTTGTCAGAAATTAGTAATAAACATGCATTAAATTGGCTTGAATTTGGCAAGAGTTACTCCCCTTTGCAGAACTCTCTAGTTTAGTTTACAACCACAATTAATTTTACTATATGTTACTACCAAAGACAAAAATGAAATTAAATTATTTTAAAACTTTGCGCAGGGTCTGGTTCCTATTTCATATTGTATTTCTATTCAAACTGAACATACAGTGAGCTGGAAAGTACCTCATGACCGGCATTTAAGAAAGATAATTTCATTTGAATGTCACTACCCTGCTTGTATAGGGGGAAATACCAAAAATCACAAAATATCACTACTCAAGCCTCATCACTCATTGTGTCCTGCTGCCAATACAAACTTGGAAACTGTGTCAAATAAAATTTAATCACTAGAATAGATATTGTTAAAACAATTCTACGTAAAAAATTGTACATATCTGTCATAGATCAGACAGGAAAAAATATTTAGATTATGCTGCAGCAGAGGTGGCAGACAGAAAGGATTCTGCTGGAATCAAATAACAGTTAGCAGGGGCGGTCCGGAAATGTTTCAGGGGGGGGGGGGGATAATAAGGTAGTTACAAAACAAATGGTAACACATGGTTTACAAAATGGATTCCAGTTTCATGTTTCTTTGACCGCCTCAATGGTTTTGTGGTAGCACTCTCCCCTTGAGTGTGCTAGGTCTTGGGTTCGAACCCCCGGCGGGTCAAACTTAAGACTTGAAAATTGGTATTTGCTGCTCTCTGGCAAGAGCAAAAAAACAACCTGAAAAGGGGTAAACATTTCAAAACATGTAAAAAAAAAAGTCAAAATTGTAAAGAAAATATAAAGGGCTGGGTATTGGATTTAGCATGTTGATTATAATCAGAATGAATGATAAATCAATTGGATTTTGGCATCACAGTAGCAAAAAGGTTATGTTGAGGAAAATTTGAAAATAAAGTTTAAACATTTCAAATATGAATATATAATATTGAAGAACGAAAAACGTTTAAAATGGAAGGTGTCACCTGACCCGATAATACTCCACTGATCCGCCTCTGGTTAGTTATTCATGATGAGGTCAACCTTACCTGTGTAAACAAATCTATGTTCCATTTTTCAGATATGAATATACTAAGCATATACTTAACATTTTTTACCACAAGTAAATCTATCAGAAATGGGAAATTAGTGAAAACTTTAATAAAATAATTTCTTAATTTTCTCATTTAAACCAAAGAAAAACCATCATAAAATGTGTTTTGAAAAAAATCCATTTCGAAAATAGAGTCTTGTAAATGTTTAAATCGTCCAATCAAAACTCTTTTCAAGGAAACACAACAACATATCATGATTATAATGTATTCTAAGTTTTAAAGAGATCCGTTGAAAAATGTAGGAGGAGGTTGCCTGACAAAAATCAAATACTGAAATGAACAAAGGGCAATAACTGTTGAAAAAATTGTCGAATCTAAATTCATTTAAGGGAGACACAACTTCACAAATTTGACGGGCGTATACAAATAGTCACATGACCCATTATTTACAGTTCAATGATATTTTGTGAAATTGGTTAAGTTTTATATGTCCAAGTTCATTTCACAGATATCATATGTCCACTGTTATGTAGCTTGATGTTGGTGTGCATCATAGGGGACCTGTAATCATGTGATAAATAGGTCACTTCGACCTACATTTCATGTTCATGAATTTATGTCCAAGTTCATTTCTCAGATACTATGTGCCCTTCTAACCTGTTTTTGAAAATACACTGTTTCCATATTGAATAATTTTTAGGTGAAACAACTGTAACGTATTTTAGCAATTCTAAGTTATCGTCAATTTATGATTGTTGTCTGTCTATTTGGCAAGAGTTCTTAGGGTTT